ATCTTTGTCTTTTACCATACAAGAGGTCAATGTCATAATATTCATGATTTTGGAAGTCAAAGTGAAATTTAGGTCCTTTAACTGGGTCAAACTTAAAAGTACCCCGAAGTATATGGAGTGGGACAACTTGAGTTAAACCCAATGATTACTCAAATTTTAATATACAAGCTCATTCTATCACTGCTGTAATTTTACTGTTCAGTATTATCTCTTTTGTTCATCATGATCGTGCAATAATTTGAGGAGTTTAAGGGAAAAAAAAGTCGTACAAATCCAGAAATCTTTACATGTAGGAGAATGAACGATTAGAGGCATAAAATAAATTGAATCAACAAAACTAATACAAACATAACTTATGGATTGGTTTGAGCTTTGCTTTGGATCAAGATTTAATTACCTATGATTTTACTAGTTTTCCAACATAGTACAACTAGAACGACCTTAATTATAGGATTCCAGATAGAAAACTCTACAATTGATTAGAAGTGTTATTCAATAACCACAATTTATACGGTAGATGGTGGAATAAATGATTCCAAAAATAAATCATTATAATTGTACTCTTCTTTAAAGTAATATTATAATTGATACGAACAAGACCGCGATGTTTAAAAAGCGCATAACGAATAACAAAAGAGTTGCCCACTGTAAGGGGACTGCGATATTCCTCCTCTTCTCCACCTCTCTCCCAATTCCGGGCGATCAAATTCTACATTCATGGCGACCCCAACTAGACAAAATTTTCCTAACAATCAAATCTCAATTTCTTCAGTGAAATCCACTCTCAAAGTCTACTCCGTGCCTCTTCTTCTCTTTGCTCTCTCAATTTTCTTCCAGCTAATTGTCGTGCCCCGTAACTTCCCGACATCTCACTACGATGGTGCGTATTACACCCCGTTGTCCCTCTTTATCCGTGTTTTTAACCTCTAATGTGCTTATTATTTGCTGAAATAAAGTCGCTTTCTTTAAACATTATATAATTTTGATTATTTTGCAGTTTTGGGTATCCGGAAGTATAGCTCAATTGAAGAGGTGAATCAGGCATATGAGAAGATAACCTCCAAGTGGTAAAGTTCATTTTTATAGTCGTATATTATCATATAAAAGTGTGATTAGTCTTATCACATGGAGATTTTTTTGTTACTCGAGCTGTGAAGCACGTTATTGTGTTTATTGTCTTATTTGTTCCGTAAGTAAATTGAATAAACAAATTTGTTTGTGTACTGTATTGTTGTGTTAGAGAGGGGAATGCAGTGTTTACATTGAGGTATGAATAAATGCACTTTCTTTCTCCATTTTTTTTCTGGAGTTAGTAAAATAGGCTATGAATATAGTGGGGAATTGACTCGAACAGCAGAAAAGCATTTGTGTATCTGACTCTGGTTTTGAACTCTTTTGTTCAGGTTCTTAAAGTAGACTATAAATGTTGTCTGGAATTAAATTGAACACCAAAGAAGCTTCACATGATCAATGCTGATATTGGACCCTTTTGTCCAGGTTCTTAATTAAGCATAAGTTGGAAATTGATTTGGATAATGAAAAAGCATTTACACGATGGATTTTAGCCCCCAAAAATATAAAAGGAAATAGCTAAAGGTATACATAAAAATAAGAATTCCAGGATACTCAAACTCATATGATCAGTGATGTCAGGATAATGTAAATCACATAACGTAAATCACTAACTGCAGATTTAAAACAGTGGAAAATTAAGCAAAAACTGAAAGAAATTACAACAAAATTAAATTAACTATAGTACATCAATTAGATTATAAAATCTTCAATTCACTGATAAGACTTGGAAATCATGGGCAAACACATATATTTTCATATTGCAGTTATAGTGAATTAGGAATATCCAATTCTTTCCTTAGTATATCAGTAATTCCAATTGCAGTCCAGATTTTAAGGTCCAATCGGAGTTGATGGAGACTGTTTCTCTTCCAGTGAATTCAATCCCGCATCGCATGATTTGACACAACTGAGGAGTTTTAGTGTTCATTTCTGTGCTTAACCAATATCTTGAAGTTAGATAATACTTCCTTGTCTTCTTTTAAGTTCTGATTCACATTTTGGCTATAATTTCCAAGAAAAGTCGTGAATTGAGGAATTTTGCAACAGAATGAATCCGGGAACTGAAATCCCCCTGGAATTGAATAATATTGTCTCCAGGGAAACGTGCTAGCAATGTAAGTTGTTGGTGTAGTTCAAGAGGATTTGAAGTTGAAGGGAAAATGGGATTGTTGAAACACGTACTCAGGTTTTTTTTGGCTCTCTTGAGCCACATGTTTTTTATGTTCCAGTGTGCAATGAAATTCTTATGAAGAAATACTAAGCAGTTTTTGTTACACATGTACAAATTTCGCTTATTCCTTATTACACTTGTAAACAAATTGAATAAATTAAGTTGTGTTAATGAATAAATGAAACTTGTTGAAGTTATTTATTGCCTAGATCTCAGTAAAAGTTCGATAACTATAGACATATAGGATATTTGTTTGTTGATGTGGGAATTTGTGGAGCTAGTTTAAGGTGCACCACCACACAATCCTCTTGGGACAATGTTTTCAGGTAGAGGTGTGGTGTTGAAGTTTACCTTTTGCTATTCTTAAATGCAAACCTTTTTGTATTTATTTCTCTCTGCTTGGTTTTATTTGACTTCCCTTTATTACCCTTTCTATTGTGTTCACATGGGGAGCACATGTCAATTTAACAAATTTTTTGGACGGAAATCATAAGTAGGGAAAATTGTGCCTAAAATTAGAATGTTGGGGCTTAAATGCCCAGAGACAAAGGTTGGGGATGAAATTGCAAAAAGGGTAAAGTTTGGAGATAGCAAATGCAATCTTACCTTTTCTTATTCTCATGGATGCCACGTCCGTTTAACTTCTTGTACTTACGCTATAACATGTCTGATTGGCAATCTTGCATATAATTGCAATCTACATTAGTAGCAATATGATCTACTGGTGTAAGCTTATCAAACATCATGCAATATAAGAAATTGAATAAACCAATGACTAGATGTTCAGCCAAACATGTAGATAGTTGCTTTCTAATATTTTATGCAGCTCGTTGTTTTCTCATACCATAGGTTTCTTATAACTAACTTTACCATCATTCAGGGATTCAAATGTTGAAATTCTGCCTTCTGTTGATCTTATCGAGGTTTGTAATATATATTTGTTGCTATTTCTATAGAACAATTTATTTGTTTATATTGATATAAATCGAGTTCATCTGTGCTATTGAATTAAATTTTGGAACCTTTTCTTTAACAATTTATCTGTTTGAAAGTCTTTTGAGGTCTTTCCTTTAAAGAGTAGTGTCAGAAAACCAAGCTATGTTATAGAATGTACTAGTTGCCATTTTTCTCCCAAATAATCAAGACATGCTGATGTAAGCAAAAGCACAGGAACAATGAAAACATGACAAGCACCACGACACGATTGTCCTATTATTTATTGGTGATTCCTAGAAAGTGAGAAAATTGGATATCAATGACTCATTGATTTGCACACAAATCCCAAGAATTTGGACCAATTGATTTGAAATATCAAATATCGAGAATTGAAGAGATTGGAGAACTTCAAAATCTAAAATTTGTATTCTAATATGAGAATTGAAGAGATTGGAGAACAAAGTCTATAATTTGTATTCTAATATCAACTTCTCTACAATCCATCCTCTTTTTTTGCTTTTATAAGACAAATATTAATGAAACTTCCTAGCATAGTCAAACTTAAATCCTAATTAATAAAACATAATTCTTAATCACCCATAAAGTATAATTGATAATCTTTAACCACTGTTCTTGTTGAATATTAAGAGTGATTGTTCTTGTGTAAGAGGAATTATATTCTTACTGTATTTCAAATTTTGTGGTTGGATGTTTGGTTTTGCAGGTCCGGTATGCTTTTGAGCTTCTTACGAATAAGCTGTTGAAGAGGGATTATGACATATTCAATATCGATGAGCATTTTGTATGCTTTTTGGCTCTCATCCTTTTGCTATGGATCTTTTTTTTTTTGATAAATTTGTATCTTATCCAGCTCACATAATCATTGCTGTTTTGTATATATTCATCATATGTTCATACACTCTTAATTTTTTGACTTTGCAGCATATGATTGAAAAGGTCAAGGCACAACATACGGGGGCACGTATTTATGATATTGACCTTCCATTGATAAAAGCTGCTGCCTCTGGTATGCTAATAAACTCGATTTTTTTGTTTTTTTTTAACTTTGCAGTATATGATTGAAAATGTCTAGGAACAACATAACAGGGCAATATTTATGATATTGACCTTCCATTGATGTAAGCTACTGCTTCTGGTTGTTGAAGACAATCTATATAAGATAACATTTTTTCTTCATTGCCTATCTGGTGCAGTCAGGAAATGATAGAACAACTATCAAGACAACCAAGCATCAAATAAGGTTAAGAGTTTTAATTAATGAATAAGTAAAATAAAACAGAACTAAATAAAATTGGACACTAGCAAGTGAAATTCTATCAGGCTTCCTTCCATGAGTCTGCCAGTGGCGGGAATGGTTGGATTCTATTTGGGGCTAGCTGCATTAGTCACCCAGGTTGAGATGATTCACCCTCGAATTGGCAGTGACATCAACATCTGGATCATCAGGAACCTCTTTGTAATCCATGATTTCTTCAGTTGTGCTCAGCCAATCCAAGAATTCCTCCACGTCCTTACCACTATTAAATTCAGGAAGGTCAATTTTGAAGCCTGCTCCCAAGCAATGCCAATCAGGTTTGACGAAATGTTCATTCCTTCAAGCCCCCAACCATCTTCCACTCGCCTGTCTCTGCTCAAGGGTTTAAACAGGTTCTTTTTCGAGCCTCTATCCTCATCAGAGGGCCAATCTGACATGCTGCCATGCCCGGATTTATCTCCAGGCATGGACCCACCGTCGCTGCCATGGCGACAAGTAGTGTCACTGTGTTGATTATGGTGGCTGCGCATCATTGTCCACCACCACTACGTGTGATGCATGTCTTGCAACTGCCAGTTCAAGTCTTGTTGCTGTAATGTACATATCTCTGAGCTCCTTTGCGCTAGAGCTTCGATGGACTGACGAATCAAAGCTAATTCATCTTATTGTTGCCATCATTTGCCACGGCAACCACATACCACGGCGTCCTTGAACCCTCGTGTAGTCAAAGCTCTGTAATGCACATATCTCTGATATTCTGCTCGCTAGAGCTTCTATGGACCCATGAATCAAAGCTAATTCGTCTTAACGTCCATCATCTGCCATGGCCACCCACGACCTCTTATTCCATGGCGTCCTCGAACCATCTTCAAGAGTTTAGTCAAAGTTCTGATACCAACCGGCGCTGTCAGGAATGATAGAACCACAATCACGACAACCAAGCATAAAAAAATGTTGAATATAGGAGAGAAAACTCTTTATGTGAAATCTTTATTGCAACAAAAGTCCTCCTAATTATGAAATAAAATGGACTTTAAATACTATCCTACTCAAAGTGAAAGACAATAGAGTCCTAATAGCATTATATTAAATAATAAGTAAATAAAACCACACTCAAAATAAAATAACACACTAGCAAGTTGAATTCGATCAGGCTTCCTCCCATGTGTCTGCTGGTGCAGGGGTTTGGTTGGAATTCTAGTTGGAGCTAGCTTCATCACCCTCCATATTGATATAGATACTCCTTCTCATTCATTACCAAAGTTTTATGAGTAATCAGTTATATCTCTTTAATAATAAAAATAATAGTAATATTTGATATCTGTGTCTATTACTGTAGATCTTGAAGATGTGTTCAGTGTCATCAACTCCCAGAATTTTTCATCCATGTTTGAAGATGACAAGGCATTACTAGTACAGGTGTGTCTGGTTGCTGTTGTACGTTGTACATTTCTTTTTTCTGTGGCTATAGTTCAGTTTTACTTTACGTGGCATCGTTTTTCACATTGTACAGTTGATTTCTAAACTGGAAACTATTATATCTTTTTCCCCGATTAGAAAGTCAACTCTTTTTTTCTCTTTACCATCCATTTTTCAAGATTATTTTTGTAGGACAGTGGTTATTTAATAAACTGAATTTTAGGCTTCTCGAACCTCAGATACTATACATTTAGTTGGCTCATAGTAACAAAGAAATTCTCCATCAATTTCTTGATAATACTTAATTAGTCCTTACAATGAAATTTATGAATTGAAATATTAAGCTGCAGCTATGAAGATGAACAAATGTCTAATACTGTTCTTAATTTTGATGGAAATTTTGGATAAATTTCTCCACATATATAATTTGAGCAAGTAATTAGGAGTGGTAATTTTGCTGCTCGTGTCACGTGAGACAGGTAACAGGCTAGCTCAACAAGAAGATACTTTTGCTAAACGATTGTTGTTTCTTGACACAAACCCAACTTGCTAATAAACAGGTCAACACTATTTGTTCCATTAACACATTTACTGGCATATTCTTACTCGGTTGTTACGGTGCTCATGACCTTTTAATTAAGAAATGGAAAATATTTAGTAAATAGCCCATTGTTTGGCAGGGTAATGGGTTAGAATGCGTTAAAAATGGGTCGGTACAGTTGAAGACGGCCAATTAGGGCATCAATTTGGTTCATCGACTCTGGCAGCCACTGGCTTGGCCGTAGCCTGAGCCAGCCCGCAGAGCTCGTTGAGCTATATGAGTTGGTTCGTGTCATAGGCCATTTTCAGCCCGTGAAGAACTAAGCCTTCAAAAAAATTTTAAAAATAAGGTAGCTACATGCTGCCTAGCTGCCTTTGCGCAGGTAGCAAGCAAGCCTACAGGCAACTAAAAAAAAAAAATTGTTAGCCGGCTCAGTTTGACTGGATAAAACTCGAATCGAAAGCTCAAGTCGAGCCTAGAGTTTTTGGCCGAGCTAAAGCTTGGTTCAGCTTGGGTCAAAAAAAGCTAGAACCATTTTTACTCGAGCTGAGCCTGAGAGTTAGCTTGACTCGATTCATTGACATCCTTACGGTCAACATGACCTGCTAGTTTACATGCATATCAATTCGTTTCCAATGGGGCAATTATGACTTGATACGGACACAACATACAATTTTCATCTTCAAAACGGATGAACCCATTTTAGACACATCCGGTCTCCCTAAACCCTACACGCTAATATCATAGAATAAGTTCCTAGGTAGAACTACCAAACTTTGTAAGTATTATTCATTGTTAGTGAAGTTTTGTGGTTGTTTTTGAATGTAATTAGAATAGATGAATCTGCAGGAGAAAAATGAAGAGTTGTAAGTAGAAGTATGTAAAAGTTTGATGGTATGAAGATTGTTCCATGTACATGTACAACTACAATCTGTAGCCTTACGGTTTACATGGAGAGCTTTGAAAAGGATTCTTTTCGGTAGATTTTTGAAATTTTACTGAGGTTTTTATACTATATAACCTTAACGAAGCATTGCTTTTCATAACCAATGATGAGAATCCAGCATGAAGGCATTCATCATTTATCCATGCCTCATCTGCCAAAATATAGGCAACCCTGCCCTTTTCCCTCTTTGAGTTTTGATACTTGATTATTAGATACTTTACAGCTTATGGTTTTTTTTTCCCCCCTCTAGAAGCAGCCAACAGTCTCAATGTCACTTGATATTTCAAGAACTGTTGAAGGATTTGCCTACTATTAAATCTATATTTGATGTGTGTCTTAGGATATGCCTTTATTTCTCATGTCTTCATTATTAGTGCCAATGTGTCAAAGCCTTATATCTGAACTATCACTTTCAGTAGTATCAGCAGTTATTTATATATTTTTCAAACCATAATATATTTGATTGTGAAGCACTTCTGCTGTGTTGTTCCAAAATATAACTTGCTGATGCCCTTTTTGTGTTTCCGCTCACTGCAATTTGATACTTTTGGAGGATGCTCATTTTTTCTTTGAACCTGTTATTTATCCTGGCTCAGATTATTTCATATGGAAGCAATCGTTGTGCGCAATTTTCTGCTTACTGGAAGAGAATTGGTATGGCATCATCCAGTTATATAAGATATATTTTTACCTAAATTATCACTTAGGAAGCATGATTTACGATTTTTTTTTGGGGTTAGTTAATCTGCTAGATGGGGTTACAAATACTGGAGTTGTTGAACTCGGTGATGTTCAGCTTGCTGTATATCTAGCTGAGAAAAAATCCAGCGCTCAACCTTTCTTCAGAAATGGTTAGTGGCACCTGTTAATTAATTTAACATTGTTCTCTTCCACCTGAATCAACATGTTACTATTGCCGATTTTTTTCCCTTGGAATGTGTCATGTACCGTTTATTACGTTTTTAAAGAATGGTAACGTGTTTTCATGATAAAAAAATTCATGAATTTACTCTTTTGGAAACACTTGACCGTCGGTAAATCTTAAGATTATTATTGACTTAGAAATATTTGTCTATCTTTATCGATTAGTAATTTCTCCAAGTGCATCATGGGCTACCAATATTTTTTCACGAATGGATCTTGTTGATAAGGAGATGCTTTGGCCATTTTACCTGCTAGATTATGATCAGCTTCTTATAGGTTGCGCTCTTGCATGGATGTCCTTTACACCCTGATCTGTTTACGAGTGATCTAAACTGACATGAGATTCACCTATTGGAAACAAAAAGCACGTGTTGGTGCTCATAGAGGTGGATAATTGATCATTGCATTATGGTTTCAAAATTTGGAGCTTGTTTGGGGGAGTTATGGCATTATAAGAAGAATAATGCATCACTCTGAATAGCATGGACTGTCAATTTATGGTGTTCTTTTAAATTAAATGATCTAGCATTCACCTTGACTAAAATATGTAGCATTTTTTAAACAAAATGTGATAGTGTTATTTTAAGTTAAAAGAGTGTGGGTGTTGGATCTCTGTACTTGAACAAGGAATTTAGTGTGTAAATATATACATTCTTGACTTCATGGAATCATTTGTATTGTTGCTGATTTATGTCCTATAAAAAAGTCATTCCAGTAATAGGATATTGTATTGCATCAGAATATGCTTATTGTTGTATAAACCAGTTGCAGCCATCTATAAATCTCCATTTTTTGTCCCTATTTATTGATGATCATGTTTTCTTCCACTGGGATTTGCTAGGACTTCCAGCCCTCGTGTCTTTTCCCCCTGGGTGTAAAAGTTCCAGTTGTCTTCAGAGGTGAATTCCCTCTTTCAATAAATTCCTCATACTAGCTTACCGAATTTCAGAATTTTTTTTTATCCCTTTCATTTTCAAGTTTTCTATTGTAATTCTTCACGTGTTTTATACTTTCTTCCTGACAGTTTAGAGACCCAATACAAAATTTTGTGTTCTTGTCTTTGGATTGAGAAAAATAATTAATGTCTTAGGATTGAGAAAATTATAATTATTTTTTTCACTAGGTACAATGGTGAGCTTTCTGTGGATGCTATTACTGATTGGTTGGCAACAAGCATCCTAAACCTGCCTCGAATTCTTTATTACTCGAAGGAGTCGATGGTAATTATTGCATTCTTATTAAACTAGTAAAATTAACTTTTCTAATCTGATAGTTCCATTTGTTTAATTTATATGCAAGATGATTACGATATCTATCTTTTGGTTTAATGATTATGACCGTCGACATTGATGTGAAAGTTTAATTCTTTTCAGGTGCATAATTTTCTGGCTAAAAGTAAACCTCATAAGGTACATTTTTGGTTTGTCTTATAACAGAGACTGCTCTATTGTATTGATTTAACTATTTTTTTAATTTCTCATGTGTTGAGACAGAAATGGGGGATCAACATAACTCATTTTGATCATTGCTGCTATGAAATTTCCAATATGCCTTCCTGATGTGACAATTTGAAGTTGATGGTTTTTGCTTGAAAGGAGACCTTTAATTATTATTATTATT